TTCGAGGGTCAAAGTATAAATTCGAGATTTATTTTGTAGAGATTTTAGAAGACAGGGGGATGTTTGGTAAGTATTAGACCTAGTATGGCGGTGTGCCTCATTTGTATTGTGATTCGTTTGGGATGTTTGGACAAGGGACTAAAACCCTAATGGGCCTTGTAAGCCTAATGGGCCCAATGAAGCCCTAATTGACTTAACAGCCCACACATGTGACTAGTGGGCCTAATGAAACCTAAATGATCAAAAGACCTAGCTATTGGGCCTATTGGGCTAAGATGGGTTTGGAAACCCTAATTAGGGTTTAGAAAACCCTAATATTGGATTTATGGGCTTGGACCTATCGGGACCCACATTTGGGCCATTGGAATGGAAATTGTGTGTTAGGCCTTATCACACCATATGATTTATTTAGAAGAGTGATGGACTTAATGGATTAAGTCCTTACTGGGTTAAGTGAGAAACACTTAACCCTAATCGTCATTTTATGTGAAACCCTAATTTCACTTGGGTTTATTGTTGGGCCTTTGTATTGGGCCTTGATGATTGGGTTAGTAATGGGCGATCCAAGGTCAAGAAAATGGACTAGAATAATTAATGGGCTTTGAGGTAAGGCACATATGAGGAGATGGGCCATAGTTTGGGCCTTAATGATTATATGATGTTGGGCCTTAGAATAAGACCATGTAAAGGCTTGGGCCCAATTTGGAATTTGGGCCATATGTTGGGCTTTGACTCATAGTTGACTTTTGGGCCTTTGGTTTGGGCCTTGGGCTTAAATAAAGCTAGGTTGGGGTTGAAGTAGTATTTACCCCAAGCATGGACTTATGGTTATGTATTGGAACCCAATTAATAATTGGGTGTTATTTTGGTGTTGACAGTTCGGGAACCTGTCATCCTTCAGCCGGGCTTGAGTCTACGGGACTTCAGCAGTGTGAGGTGAGTTACCTTCCAGTAGAAGTGGGTCTAAGGCCATAATGCCGGCCCACTAGTAGAGTTGTTTGGTAGCTGATTGTCTTTGTGATAGTCATCTAGGTTTGTTACTACCTGATATGTTTATGTGTTAGCATGATATAACGTTATGTGTTAGTAGTAGTAGGGGTGAAATAGTCCCCGATTACCGGTTGCAAGATATCGAAGGGGTAGTTAGTAACCATGCATGCCTAGCAGTATGTTCATGATATGTTATTATGTGGTAGTAGTAGGGGTGAAATAGTCCCCGGATACCGGTTGAAAGATACCGAAGGGGGTAGCTAGTACCCATGTATGCTTAGTAGTATGTACACGATAATTATTATGTTGTAGTGGTAGGGGTGAAAATAGTCCCCGTTGCCGGTTGAGATAGACCGGAGGGTTGGTCAGCACCCCAGAATGGCTTGACATGGGTAGGTCAGCACCCCAGAATGGCTTGACATGGGTAGGTCGGGCACCCCAGAATTGCCCGGGCAGTACGTATGTTGTATGGTATGTGGTATGATGGGGGAACTCACTAAGCTTCGTGCTTACGGTTTACAGTTTTGGTTTCAGGTACTTCGTTTCAAAGGAAAGGAGTCGGCTTGGTCGCAGCACATCACACTATGTTTTCCGCACATGAGATCTTTGGGATTACACTCTGATATTAATTGATGATAATATGCTTTGATTATTGACACTTTGGCTTTGAAATGGAATGTTATTACTGACGGATTTATACTTATGGTTTTATAATAACTTATTTAAAAATGAAATTTTTGGTCTTGAATTTTGGGATGTTACAAAAATGTACTCACACGATACATTAGAAAAATTCAGCTTTTGATTATCGTCTGATCTTGTTTTTATACCCAATTTTTAATATTTTATATACTATAAAACACTAGTTGTGAGACCCGTATACTATACGGTTTGATTAAAATAAAATGTTAAATACGAATGATTAAACGAAAAGTTTATATGAATTTGAAATTTGAAATAAGTAAAATTATCAGGAAAAAAAATAAAAAAAAACATGCAAAAAAATAGATTAAAGTTATTTGTTTAATTGTCAGATCCGTGTACTAAACGTGTTAATTATAATAAAATCTAAAATACGAAGGTTTAAACTGTAAATTTATTTAAAATTAAAATTGAAGTTTGAAATTTGAAATTTGAAATTAATATGTTTAATTTATAAAAAATAAATTAATGATATATTGAAAAATAAAAAATGAAGTAAATAACAAATGGAAATAAATATCTTAAAATTATGACAAAATGACATGTGGCATAATATATGGGAGAATGACATATGGCAAAATGATTTTCATTTATTAGGGAGGATGTTATGTTATTGATAATCCCTTAAAAAACATATTATACAAAACTCTTTCACCAAATTTTGGTTTAGAAGAATACATTTTATTAATATTATCTCCGATCAAGTTAACACATATACACAATGACTTGTAGTGAATTTATTTTTCCCAAAACAAAATATCACTTATTCCCACAAATTCCTTGAATTTTCTCCTATAACTTTACCATAGTCCCCGCCCAGAACTACACTAGGCCTGTTTTCTTGGGCCCAAAATTAATTCGGCAGCCCTTATTAGCCATTGACAACAAAATGGATACGGCGTCACGGCCATATGGACGGTTGCGACGTATAGTGGTGCCAGAGACTGCTCTGGAGGTGCTAGTTCTTAAACAACCCTGCTCAAAGTTCCTCGTTTCTAAGGGGGTGTTTGGCTTAGCTTTTCACAGCCCAATTCACATAAAACTTGCTATATATATATATATATATATATATATATATATATATATATATATATATATATATACACATGTGTGAACTTTGTACCGACTAATTTTTATTACATCATAATTTAAATCTTTATTTGGACACTCATGTTTATTCCAATTACAATAAATTGACGGTGACACTAATATCACAAACAATCATTTCCATTTTAGTACCAATGAATTCACACAAATAAAGTAAACAAACCAAACTTGTACATAAATGAAAATGTCGAGAATCAATTAATTGAACTGGACACTTTAATTTTTAACACCCGAATAGAAAGTATCTTTATTATTGACGACTTGTGTTACTTTAGGGTAAAACATGATGATTTTTAATACCTTCCTTCATGTGTTGTGCATATGTGACAAAATGGACACTTCAGTATTTAGGATGCCATAAAGTTCTTGAATATAAATAGTCCTGATTCATCTACATTATCTTTGTAAGGTCCTTCCCAAACTAACGAACGTTAAATTTTTTTTTTTCATAATTACAAGAAGCAAAAAGAAGCATATAACTGTTAGTAATTTAGGTTTTGCAATTCCCTTACAAAATATGGCAAAGCCATATTCACTTACATCTAATCTACTTTAGCAATTCACGTTTAGGAGCCAAGGGAAGTTGAATTTAAGAGAATTGAAATGAATCACTTGATTTCATCACATGACACAAAGTAATCGATATACACAAACAGTGGGATGAGAGAATACCTAAATTATCATGGAAACGGAAGCAAGATATAGACCAGTTTTGATTAAGAAATTAAACAAAATTAATAATTATAGAACATGTTAAACGATTGTTGATGCATGTTTCTTATCCACAAAATCCTAATTCCATCAATCACCCACAACAGGAATTACCAAGCTTATTCTACCAGTGGTGATGATGTGCGAACGAGAAGAAAGATAAGAACGGGAATTACGATGCTTTTTCAAGCTTTATACATAAATTTTCTAAAAATAAAATAAAAATCAGAGCTTAACCACATCTGTGTGGACAAGAAGAAAGATATTATTTACCTTCGATTCACATGCATTTCATCTGATGGTGTTGGTTCATCCATGTCCCACTTTGATGGTGAGGTTTGTCTTTAATGATTTTTGGGGTGACTGTCGCGGTGACTGTCGCAGTGATTGTCGGTGATTGTCAGGGTGGGTGTGAAGGAATTAGGGCAAAATGAATGAATACTTGACACTTTGAATGAGTCACATGGGCATATGTGGCGACAACCGGTTACATGTCACTTGGTTACCAGGTCCATCGGTCATTTTGTTGAAATTGCAAGAAAATGGGAATATAATGACATAACTGAGAAAAAAAATTGATGTCAAAATCGAAATTTCCTGGTATTATATTGAGTTCCTTGCAATTTGCCCTTAAATAAACAAACATAAAAGAACTTCCCACCTAACAATTCCTGAACATTCCCAAACGGTTCGTTGAACGTTCGATTCGTTTACAATCCTATCCGGTTATTGTACTACATTATGTATATATAATATTGTAAAACAAATAAGAGTCAAAATGTAACTTATAAGAGTGGTTTATGTTATACAGCTTCTAGATTTTGTAAATATATCAGACCGGCCCTACAAATTACAATATATGACAATAAAGTTTTACAGTTTTTTGATGTTCATTTTATGTTTTTTAACATTCATTCGTTTATTTTTGTTTTGCATCTTAATGAACATAAACGAACGAATACGAACAACATAATTTGTTAAATGAACTAACATAAACAAGAAAATACATTTGTTTTTATGTTTCTATTTGTTCATTTGTGCGGTTAACTTAAACGGACAAACATGAACATGCCTGTGTTTGTGTTCATGTTCCATCTATTCATTTATGGCCCTAAACATAATTCAAAACGGCAAAAATACCAAAAATGACCATTCACGGCCCACACTATACGAAGTTATTGTCCAAATACATAATGTGTGCATATGTATAGACATATTCAATTCACTAATAAAGGTCCATCATCCACAACACAAAATCATGCCAATGTGAGACACATAATTCATTAGACACAAAAGGAAATCAAACAAAATATTAAACGAAATAAATGTGATAGTTGTGCCAACATGAAGCAAAAGGGTGAGAAATAACCAAATTGTCTAAAAATCAATTCCAAGATGCAAATCAACCAATGGCAGTTCTCAAAAGTCTTGACAATGGTTCAACAAAAGCCTCCACCATAAAAGCAAAGATAACTCCGCTAATAAAGCCATCACTCGTGTAAGAGATTAACATTCAAACAATCATGGAAAACGTACTGCATTCTGGCGGCATCAAAGAGCTTGTCTTTTTCACTTTCATCTGTAACAACATATTTCCTATATAATGATCGAGTGTCAAGATCTATTTCATGAATCTTGTACGGATGTATTGAAATCCTATCCATCACATAAAAGTTTTCGCCAGAACTGAGAAACCCCGGAAACATGAAATCTGGCTTCTGAAAACTCTCAGATTCAAATAACACCACTTTAGGCTCTGGATAGAGTCTGATTTCAGATAGCCTCACTTGAGCTGGATAAACAGAGTGTAGGGTATATATCTTCCCTTTGAAAGCACATAAATCAAGAATGTCGAAATGCGTGGAGACATAAGTCCATTCTCGTTTACCATCTATAGAAAACCAAATTTTACTATAGCCTCTAATGGACAAAACAAACACACATCCAGGTATTGAAGATGAAAAGACAAGGATGGCCCTAATAGCTTCATAACCATGATATAATAAGGCTTTAATGCGGATAACAGGGAAATAAAGTTTATGCCTTGTGATAAGATTCACAAGCAAGAAGTCTTCAAATTTCTCACTGAACAAAATCAAGTAACCACAAGTTTACCCTGATACATGTTCTATCAGAATAATAAGAAAGAATAATTTTTAACTTTCTTCCTTCAAAGTCGTTTAGGTAGTATTGTTTCTCATTAGCATCAGTAGTAGAGACAGATAGAGACATGGGTGGTCTGGACACTATAAACTTGTTCCTATTAGAAAGAGCAACTGATCTCCATGACTTACAAACTCTACTGAATGCAAGAAAATCAACAACTCCAAGTTGCATCATAACTAATAAAAGCACATCATGAGTAAGATCTGACCAAGAGTCACAAGTCCTGTTCTTACTCATGCTTCATCATACTTCTTTTTCTAAGCATACTCCTTGTTTTACCCATTCCTACATTTGCAAAAAAAAGGAATAAACATTTGAGACCACAAATAAAAAGGAGAAAATCAATACAACTAAGCTAAATCAAAATCATGTGGATCAAACCCAAGTTTATAAGTCAGTTGTACACTACCATAAATTATCGACACTTGAAATTGAAGATGTTTGGCTTGGTTTCGGAAGCTGAAAGTCATTTTAGTAAAAGATAAAAGGTAAAAGATGTTTGGTAAAAACACTTTGAAAAGCTACTTTTGGATTTTAGATATAAGGAAAATGAACTTTTTGGAAAAGTCAGGAAAACCTGACTTTTTGCAACTTTTCCTAATACGACTTTTGACCTCTCAAAAGCTAAGCCAAACACCCCTGAATTCCATTTGTTCGATGATTATAAGAATAAAATGCAGCAAAAAGTATGGCACGCATTATCATCCAAATCCTCTAGATGTTCTTCAGAAACAATTTACCTGATTAAAACTGAGAATGGGGAACTTAAAGCGGGATGGATTAAGAAAGAGTCTCGCCGTTGGGGTTGGAATCGTTTCCTTCACCGGTTCTATAATTCATGTGCCAACCGCCTGCGTATTGTATGGTTTGTATCCCTTATTATGCTCAAATGAGCTGAATTTCTTTTGGGCTCAAAAGTTTGATGGGCTCTGTTTGTAGGCGTTCTGGGCTGGAAGGAAATGCAGTAAAGCCTATCCAAGTTTTATTATTTATAAATGTGAATATGTAGTATAAAAGTTTCAATCATTGTAATTAGATTCCAAATTAATTTCATTTTTTGTATTTTTAGCACAGATTTTTTATGCTATAATGAAGTCCCTTAACTCATTAATTGTTGTCGAGTTGTTTTACTTCCACAGTTTAGTCTAACAATTTTCTAATAGTTAACGTGTTGTGTACATGCCTTAAAATGAAGGATATTTTAGTCTTTAACATCCCAATGGAAATTGCATCATATCCAACATCGGCGACAATGGCTTATCTAGAAGAGAAAAAAAATATATGTAGTGTTCATTTTAATTATATATTTTTTTAAAGGACCAACTCACACTCACTAATCTTACTAATAAATTTATGTTTTTTTGTCTCCAATAGGACTTGATCCCTCGACGACTTATGTTTGGGCCAAAGAGTATGTTGATAGAAGAAAATAATGACAGTGAAAATCTATTATGATTCAAAAAGCAGTGTTGTTAACTTAATCCTTAGCAAGCTTAGAGTAAATTACAAAGTTCATCATGGAAGATAGTTATGATCAGTTTAAAAACTATTTTCATTTTTTATTTTGGTTCAAAATGATTTTGATGCAACAATAAAGTCATTTCACTGTTAACGACTTGTGTTCCTTTAAGGTTAAGCATAACGATTTTTAATAGCTTCTTTAATGTGTTGTGCACATGTGTTAAAATGGACATTTTAGTTTTTAGCACCTTAATTGAAAGCCCTAAATTGCTTCAATCTCAACGACCATTAGTCATCTTCATCATCTTTGTTACGCCCTTTGAAACTAACAAACCTTTTTTTTTTTCCATAATCACAACCAAAAATGAAAACCTGTTGGTTTAAAAACCAAAAATCTAACATGATTCAATGAAAGACTAGTCACCACCAGGGTCATAGAGAGTAAAAAAAGTTGTCATAACTAAAAATGGCGACGACACAACTGGTGTAATAAAAAACATTCAAACATTATCATTTTTTTTTATCAAGAACATGGGAAAAGGATGTGGGGATCTGGGTGTTCTAACCCTCTTAGTATTATATTGCAGTCTTTTAAATTGAGTTCAATTAACTTGGTTGCAAATCTTTTGTCTTTATAAACAACAAAAACCACAAAGTTGAGAAATAGTGATTTTTGAGCATCAAGATCCTCGAGAATCCTTTATAAACAACCAAAGACCACAAACTTGAGAAATAATTACGAATATGAGAAAGGAGGATTTCGTTTACTCTTTTTGATGCTTCCCTCCTTTGCTTTATGAATCAGCATATCCCGTTTTGTTATGAGCAATATCTTTTTTTAGGGGTCGGCATGTTGTCAGATTGTGTAAATCGTAAGCCCTAATTTTATTTGTGAGTAAATTATATGAATGATCCATGTGGTTTGGTCTAATTTGCACGTTCCATCCAATCTTTTTTTTACTCGACTGTCCAAGTTAGTTTGAAACTTGCATGTTTCATCTCTCTCAACCTAAAATAACTATTTTACCCTTATTCATTTTCTATTTTTGATGTACTTATCATTTATTCATAAATTAAGGCTTAATAATAAATAGCACCCCAACCCCACCCTACTCTACCATTTTTCTTCTAAACCTCACATCACATATCACTTTTTTCACATTCTCTTCTCTAAACTAAAAACAAACCCTAAATCTACCAACATACCCTTCTTGAGGACATGCTTTTATTTAATAAGCAAGTATGTATGATCAAGTAAAAAGTACTATTGTACAAATATGGCATCAAAATCATGTGCAAACAAATTTCCGCTTAATCAAGAGGACCAATAGTAGGTCTTTCACCCATGGTAACAACAAAGATAAACATACTAACCACTGTCAATCATGTAAGAGACTAACACTAAAACAATCATGAAAGAAGTACCACATTTTTGCATAAAAGGACCCACAATTTACACTTTTATCAGTGTTTCCATATGTCAGGTCTTGTATACCGGAAGTACCACGCTTAAACTTGCTAAAATAGAATGCATATGCTTCTCCTGCCTTTTCATGTGACACCCATTTCATTTCTACAAAATCAAGTTCCTGAATCTTAAATGGATGTCTCGCAAACCGATTCATCGCGAAAAGATTTTCACCAAAACTTACAAACTCCGAAAGTGTGAAATGTGGGTTTGGAATATTTTTGGTATCAAGTAACATCAATTTGGGCTTTGGATAGAGTCTCAGCTCACATAAACATGTGATTTCACATGATCGAGAAAGAGAGTGTAAGTTGTATATCTTCCCATTGAAAGCATGTAAATCATGGATGGGGAAAGGGGTGGAGACACAAGTCCATGCTTGTTTACCCACAATAGAAAACCACATTTTATGAGAGAATAATCCATCTGACATAACAAACACTCACTCGGATATTGAAGGTGAAAAGACAAGGATAACCCTCAATCTTTCATGTCCCTGATAGACATCGGATGTGACATCAGGAAAATGAAGTCCATGCCTTGTGATAGGATTCACAAGCCAAAATTCCTTTGTCTTTTCACCGAACAAGATCAAGTAACCACAAGTTAATCCAACACAGGTCCTGCTAGCAGAATGTGGAAGGGTAGTTTTGAACTTTCTTCCTTCAGAGTCCTCTAAATGACATGTTTTCTCATACGCATCAGAAAAGATTTGTATGAACATGGGTGTCCGGGAGGCCATAAAGCTTTTCCTACTAGAGACTGCAAATGATCTCCATGACTTACAAACTCCACTAAACGAAAGAAAATCAATGACTCCAAGTTGCATCATAAATATAAAAAGCACATCATGGTTAAGATCTGACCAAGGTGCTACTACATAACTGTTGTCACACGTCTTGATCCTCTTCCTGCTAGATGCATCATCATGATCATGATTTTGGTTTCTAGTCATACTCCTTATCTTGGCCATTCCTACACTTGCAAAACAAAAATAAAGGTATGAAACCTTTGTTACAAACACTATCCTTCTATGATGAAAGAATTTTACAAAAAACTAAATGTTACAAAACCTTAATCAGACCATGGGACAACAAAAGGAATATACATATGCACTATTGTTGCATAACTAAAGAAAGAAGCGAACATAAAAGAAATCAAAATTGGTTATGTTCATAAAGTTTATATTTCAACCAACAAGATTTTGGAAATGTTAGATAAAATACCAAAAACAAGGCTTTCTTCACTGGTTAATAACAGGGAACAAAACAAAATATAACAGGGGACAGAAAAAGAAACACACAGTGGGGCAAATCTGCACTTTATTCACCAAAACAGAAAAGAAAGATACATTGAACGTACATATTGCCACTCTATTTAAACAGCTAAAACTGAACTGAAAACAAGGAAAATGACCCTTCCTATCTGCATAAAAACAGGGACCTCATGACTACATGGGTTGGACTTATTCAAAAACACTTACACTTGGTAAAAGAGTAAATAAAAACGTGCTGCAAACTTGGATTACACTCACATTCCCCCCTTAATCCAGAGTTTGATACCTGCCTAACTCCAATTAAAGCTTGCATCTCCTTATGCTTCAACTTTGCCATTGCTTTTGTGAATATGTCTGCCTTTTGATCCTTGCTGCATACATGAGTCACTTTGATTTCACCATTCTCTACACACTCTCTAATGAAGTGGAATCTCGTGTCAATGTGCTTGCTTCTTCCGTGAAACACTGGATTTTTCATGAGATCAAGGGCAGACTTGTTGTCAACATACAAGGTTGTTGGTGCAACTCTTTCTCCGGTTATCTCAGTAAGTAGACGATGCAGCCATATCCTATGACATGTTGCCATGGTGGCTGCCATAAACTCCGCCTCACACGAGGACAATGCCACACATCGCTGTTTTTGAGAGGACCAAGTGACCAAGTTCCCATTTACATAGAACGCCATTCCGCAGGTGCTTCTTCTATCATTAACATCCATTGCCAGGTCACTGTCGGAGTACCCGGAGATTGTAACCTTGCCCTCTCCTCTAGTATAAGCTAAACCATAGTCTAAAGTGCCTTTCACATATCTAAGTATGCCCTTTACAGCTTGAAGGTGTTTCGTGGTAGGCTTTTCCATGAAACGACTCACCACCCCAACAACAAAGGATCTATCGGGACGAGTATGAGTTAAATACCTCAGTCCCCCTACGATGCTCCTGTACTCGGTAGGATCTACCAATTCTCCATCTTCATCCTTGGTTAACTGCACTTTGTGTTCCAATGGACTTGTTGTGGGATTGCAATGCGACATCCGGGTCTTGGTTAAAATACTCTTTGCATATGCTTCTTGTTTAAGAGTGATTCCTGCATCATCTTGATGTACCTCGATACCCAGATAATAACTCAGGAACCCGATATCACTCACCTCAAACTTTTCATTCATCTCCTATTTGAAGCACTTCACTTCTTCATGGCAGTTTCCTGTTACCAGGAGGTCATCGACATACGCTCTAATTATTAGAATTTTTCCTTCTCTTTTCCTGGTATAAACCGAGTACTCTTGTGTGCATCTTTTAAATCCCAAACTCTTCAAATATCTGTCTAATCAAGCATTCCATGCCCGGGGTGCCTGCTTTAACCCATACAGAGCCTTCGAGAGTTTATACACCTTGTTCTCTTCATCTCTTTTTACAAACCCATCAGGTTGAGACACATAGACTTCCTCCTCCAACTTACCATTCAGAAACATTGATTTCACGTCTAGATGATGCACACACCATCCATTGCAACCTGCAAGGGCTAGTATTACACGTACCGTTTCAATTCTTGTCACTGGTGCAAAGACTTCCTCATAGTCGATCCCCTGCTTCTGAACATACCCCTTAGCCACAATTCTCGCTTTATGTTTCAGAATCTTTCCATTTGGGTCTCGTTTCACCTTGAAAACCCACTTTAGACCAATTGGCTTTCGATTTTTTGGAAGATCGACTAACCTCCAGGTATTGTTTCTTTCAATTGAGGTCAATTCGGCCTTCATAGCGTTGACTGATACGTCCCAGGCTGGAGGATCAAGATTTGGTCAGATTTATCAAAGGCGTGGCAGGAATATCTCAATTTAGGATAATTTTGGTTATTTATGTTTAGTCTTTATCCTTTTATGTTAGTCTTTATCTAGTCTTTATCTTTCTTAGGTTGAGTCGCTATCTGTTATTAGTTTTGGAGTCAGATTAGGTTTGTTTGTTTGGTTAGCTGGACATTATAAATAGTGTTCCATAGGATCTTGTTTGATTTTTATGAAATTAATAAAGACCGAGAGGTATTAGGAGTATTCCTGTAACTCGAATAACAGGTAGGGATCTTAGGTTACCTGGGATCGTAGTAATTGGTATCAGAGCTGTTACCATTTCTAATGACAGAAAAACCGGAGGGGAAGGGAACCAATGCCGAGAGGCTTGCTGCGCTTGAGGGCGCCGTCAACCAGGTGCTCGATGCATCTGAGGCTCATCGTTTGGAGGTGGCAACACAGATGCAGGTGCTCACCAAAGCCGTTTCTGAGTTGACTGAAGCAATCAAGGGACCAAGAAAGAAACACAAGAACTATTACCACAGTTCCTCTTCCGATTCAGGGAGGAGTGATGATGAAGATGACGTGGGGTCTGACAACTCGGATAACAGTGCTGAGACCAAGAAAAAGAAGAAAAATCGGGATCCATTGCTTGATTGCCGGAAATTGAAGATTCCTGTTTTTTATGGCGCTGATGTTCACGGGTGGGTTTACAAGGTTGAACGATACTTTGAAGTTCATAAATTTGGAAAGAAAGATCGTTTGCAGGCAGTGGCAATCTGCCTTGAGGGTGCACCGTTGTCATGGTTTCGTTGGAATGATGCCAAGAAACCATTCCGTTCTTGGGGAAAGTTTAAACGAAAGCTTCTTGAAAGATTTCAAGGGTCGCGTGAGGGCAGTGTTCAGGAACAGTTCTTGGCCATCCAACAAACGGGGACGGTACAGGAATACATGGATAGATTCGAAGGGTTTGCAGGGCAACTACACGATGTTCCAGAATCGATTCAGGAGAGCACATTTATTAAAGGTTTGAAAGAAGATGTTCGTGCAGCAGTCCGGATAGCAGAACCTGATTCCTTATCTCAGGCGATTCGAATGGCCATTAAAATTTACGAAAACAGGGTTGGGGGATTGATCAAAGGGACAAGCAACGCGTCTAGATCCGGGTTTGGCTTCCAAGGCAAGTCCAACACCTCGACCGCTGGTGTAATGACTAAGAAATAGGATAGCGCATCAGGGGGTTTAAGAAACTAACGGCCACCGAGCTAGCTGAAAAACGCGCCAGGGGTTTGTGTTTTAGGTGCGATGGAAAACTTTCACCGGGACACAAATGTCCTAGTAAAACTCTACAGGTTCTTATTTTGGATGAAGACAATGCTGAGGAGGAAGAGTTGGGGAGCGAGGAGAAGGTCATTGCGATATGGCAGAGGTGTCTCTTAATTCCGTAAGCGGTCTCACTCCACCGCGAACAATGAAGGTGAGAGGGAAGATCGGGGACAGGGAAGTTGTTGTTTTGATCGATAGTGGGGCAACCCACAATTTTGTGTCCACAGATATAGTTGACGAACTCACCATTTGTATCAGATTCCGGTCACTAATGAATCAGATATAGTTGACGAACTCACAATTTTGTGTCCACAGTTAAGCTGGGTAATGGGTTGATAGCTCGTAGCCATGGTTGTTGCAAGGATGTTCTTCTCGACTTACCAGAGGTTAGGTTTGTGGAAGAGTTTTTGCCTTTTGAACTGAGAGGATCAGATGTCATATTGGGTATAAAATGTTTGCAAACGCTGGGTGACATGACAGTAAATTGGTTGGAGCTTCGAATGCAATACTGGGAAGGGGATCGGCTGGTAACTATCATGGGTGACCCAAGCTTATCAAAAACTATGGCCTCGTGTAAGACTCTTTACAAGTTAATACAACGTGAGGAGGAAGGATATTTAGTCCATCTTCAGGCAAAAGGAGTGGTGCACACTCCTATCGTGATTCCGGGGCAGGTTATGAAGGTATTGGAAACATTTAAAGACGTTTTTGAAATGCCCAGTGGTTTACCCCCTGTGCATAGCAAAAATCACGCGATCATTTTAAAAGAGGGTACCCCGCCCGTGAGTGTAAGACCTTACCGTTACCCGCATGCACAGAAGAATGAAATTGAACGCTTAGTCCAGGAAATGCTAGATGCTAGAATTATTCAGCCAAGTACTAGTCCTTTCTCTAGTCCCGTGTTGTTGGTGAAAAAAAAGATGGAAGCTGGCATTTTTGTGTGGACTATAGAGCACTTAATAAGGCGACGGTTCTTGACAAGTTCCCGATTCCCGTGATAGAAGAGCTTTTGGATGAGTTGCATGGGTCGGTTATTTTTTCAAAGTTAGATTTAAAGTCCCGTTACCATCAGATACGGATGAAAGAAGAAGATGTTCATAAAACCGCTTTTAGGACCTATGAGGGGCACTATGAATTTCTCGTTATGCCTTTCGGGTTGAGCAACGCCCCCGCCACATTCCGGTCACTAATGAATCAGGTATTCCGACCCTTCTTGCGGCGCTTTGTACTCGTTTTCTTCGACGATATTCTCGTCTATAGCAGGTCCTGGGACGAGCATGTGCATCATTTATCTTCGGTTCTACTAACAATGCAAGAGCATAAACTTTTTGCAAATCGAAAAAAGTGTTCGTTTGCTCAGAATCAAATCGAGTATTTAGGGCATTTGGTTTCAGCTGAGGGTGTATCGGCTGATCCCTCGAAAATTGAAGCTATGTTGGAATGGCCGGTACCGAAAACGCTCCGGAAATTATGCGGGTTTTTAGGGCTGACGGGGTACTACCGCAAGTTTGTCAAGGACTATGGGAAGATTGCAGGACCACTCACAGATCAGATCAAGAAAGATAATTTTCGTTGGAATGAAGACGCTTTGCAAGCTTTTCAACAGTTAAAGACCGTGATGACCCGTGTTCCAGTTTTGGCCTTACCGGATTTTACAAAATCTTTTGTGGTGGAAACTGATACTTCGTGTGTTGGAGTGGGGGCGGTATTAATGCAGGATACTCGCCCAATTGCTTATTTTAGTCAAGTTTTGGGTGCTCGGGCTCGTCTAAAATCTGTTTATGAGCGCGAATTAATGGCAATTGTTTTTGCTATCCAAAAGTAGCGACCTTACTTGTTGGGGCGAAGGTTCGTGGTTCATACGGATCAGCGAAGTTTAAAATATTTGTTGGAACAGCGGGTCATGGCTGAAGACCATCAGAAGTGGCTTTCTAAACTCTTGGGGTACAACTTTGACATCGAGTACCGTCTGGGGCGAGAGAACAACGCAGCTGATGCCTTGTCAAGGAAAAATGGGGCTGAATTGTTAGAGTTGGTATCTGGTTGCACAGTTGACTGGGAAAGGTTGTGGCGAGAGGTTGAAAATGACCCTGAATTGGTTGATCTCAGGGAGCGCGTCATTTCCGGTCAACAGGTTCCAATTGGGTTTTCGGTAAACAACAAACGACTGTTGTTTAAGGGTCGTTTAGTGTTAAATCGCAATTCTTCTTGGATTCCACGGTTATTTCATGAGTTTCATGGGAGTTCAACGGGGGGTCACTCGGGAGTTCAAAAAACTTATCGACGGATGGCCCGAGAGCTGTTTTGGACAGGGATGAAGGGTGATATATCGCGCATGGTAGCACAGTGTGATATCTGCCAACGGCAGAAATACTCTACCCTGGCACCTAGCGGGTTGTTGCAGTCCCTTAAATTACCTAATAAAGTTTGGTCCGAAGTTACCATGGATTTTATTGATGGCTTACCCAAGTCAGATGGGTTTTCTGTTATATTTGTGATTGTTGATAGGTTAAGTAAATATGCCCATTTTGTTCCTCTGAAACATTTGTATACTGCTCTTACAGTTGCTTCGGCGTTTTTAAGGGAGGTGGTTCGGTTGCATGGTATTCCAGAGTCCATTGTTTCAGATCGAGATAGGGTTTTCTTAAGATTGTTTTGGCGGGAGCTTTTTCGGTTGCAGGGCACCAAGCTTAAGCGAAGCACGGCTTACCACCCGCAAACGGATGGCTAAACCGAGGTGGTGAATCGGTGTTTAGAAACCTATCTTCGTTGTTTTGTGTCAGATTCTCCAAAAAAATGGGCAAAGTGGTTGTCATGGGCGAAGTTCTGGTACAATTCCTCTTTTCACACTTCCATCAACACCACTCCTTTTCAGATTCTTTATGGTCGTGATCCTCTCCATTTGGTTTATTATGACAGTCAACGTACTTCTGTGGGTTCTGTGGAGGCATATTTGGAAGAGCGGGATGCCGTATTGAAAGAGTTGAAGGGGTTTTTGTTGCGTACTCAACAACTGATGAACGCTAAGGCAGACAAACATCGCAAGGATGAGGAGTTTGCTGTTGGAGATCGAGTTTTTCTCAAGCTTCAACCGTATAGGCAACATTCGGTGGCGCGAAGGGTGAATGAAAAGTTATCTCCTCGTTACTTTGGTCCTTTTGAGGTGTTGGAAAGGATGGGTCGTGTGGCTTATCGTTTATAGCTTCCTGATTCCTCAAAAATTCATGATGTTTTCCACATTTCTCAATTGAAGAAAGCTATCGGGAATCAGTTGGTTCTTCCTCAGCTGCCTACTACCTTGACTGCTGATATGGAAGTTTTATTGCAACCAGAGCAGGTAGAGGGCCTTCGTGATGGGATTTCGGGCCGTGAGGTTTTAATAAGGTGGAAGGATTTACCGACTTATGAGGCGACGTGGGAGCTGTTTGATGATATGGTGAAGCAATTTCCTGATTTCCACCTTGAGGACAAGGTGTCTGTTTGGGAGGGGAGTAATGATACGTCCCAGGCTGGAGGATCAAGATTTGGTCAGATTTATCAAAGGCGTGGCAGGAATATCTCAGTTTAGGATAATTTTGGTTATTTATGTTTAGTCTTTATCCTTTTATGTTAGTCTTTATCTAGTCTTTATCTTTCTTAGGTTGAGTCGATATCTGTTATTAGTTTTGGAGTCAGATTAGGTTTGTTTGTTTGGTTAGCTGGACATTATAAATAGTGTTCCATAGGATCTTGTTTGATTTTATGAAATTAATAAAGACCGAGAGGTATTAGGAGTATTCCTATGACTCGAATAACAGGTAGGGATCTTAGGTTACTAAGGATCGTATTATTGACCCATTCCGTTCTTTTCTTCGCTTCTGTATATGAGGTCGGTTCTTCCTCATCGTGGACCAGCATGAGACGCTCTGTGTGGTCGTACAGGTCCGATAGAAGTCTATAGCGCTTTGGTGCTCCACTGCCTATGGATCTTGAGGCGGTACTAGGAGAGCCGAATTACGACACAGGTGAGTTTGGTGTAACTGGCGTACTAGGTGTCGATGGTGAGCTTAATGAACTATCATGTGGGCTTAATTGTGGGTCTAATTGTGAGCTAATGGGCTGAGATGCATCGATCCAATCTGCTTCAGGCTGTGGCATCACGTTTTCATTTGGTGTACCAGGGATAGGCCCAAATTCCTCATGGTCATGCTCGTTGAAGTCAAACCCTTCAACTGTGAAACTCATCCCTTGTGCCGGCTTAATCTTAGTCGTCTTCTCCCACATCCATACCTTATCTTCTTCAAATACCATGTTTATACTCACATACATCGAACCTGTGACTGGATCTAGTAACCGATATGCCTTGGTGCCTTTCTCAACTCAAATATGCACAACTCTATTGCTTATCTCTTCTAATTTCTTTCGATGCATCTGAGCCACCATCATGTGTGCAACACATCCGAACACCCTGAGGTGTCCTACTTGTGGTTTTCTCCCAGTCCACATCTCATATGGTGTTGATTCCTTCAAGGCTTTGGTGTTGACCCTGTTTAGAACATACACAACATGGTTCACAGCTTCACCCCATAGAACATCAGGCACGTTCATTGACAACAAGCAGCTTCTAACCATCTCTAAGACAGTCCGATTCCATCTCTCCACAACACCATTCTGTTGTGGAGAGTATGTTGCAGTGTAGTGATGATCCAAACCTGTTTCATTGCAATATGTGGTGAACTCGTTTGACAAGAACTCACCACCACGATCCGTTCTAAAAACCTTCATCTTCTCACCTGTTTCAATTTCCACTTTTACCTGAAATTCTTGAACGTTTGGAAAGCCCCATCCTTTATTTTCAATAAATACACCCACATAACTCTACTATAATCATCCACCAAGAGCATGAAATACCGATTCCCTGTTGGTGTAGGGGGTGAAACCGGGCCACACAAATCCCCATGAACAAGTTCCAGCCGCTCTGTAATTCGTATGTGAGGGGAAGGAATTTCTTGTTTGCTTTCCCACTAAACACCCCTCACAGGGCTGTGAAGGAATGTTTATCCTGGCTAACCCTTCAATCAACTTTTTGTCTGACATGTGCTTCATTGAATTGAAGTTTATATGACCCAATCTTGCGTGCCACAACCACGTTGGGTCATTGATTTGAGCAGTTAGACACACTGCTCTAGCCTCTTCCAGCTCTATCTTGTAGAGTCTATTGGGTGATCTTTGGACCTTCATTAACAGTTTTCCAGTAGCATCATGAACCCATAAGAATGGGTCCTTAATCCTGATTTCATCTCCTCCCTCTGCTAACTGACCCAAGCTAACTATATTACTGCATAAATCAGGAATGTAGTATACCTCATTTAGCTTTCGTTGACTACCATCCTTGCACTGAAACACAATTGAGCCTTTTCCTTCAATTCTAACTTTGGATGCATTCCCAAACTTCACATACCCTTGAATTTTTTTGTTCAGATCACGAAATTTGTCCTTGTCACCAGTCATGTGATTGCTTGCCCTAGTGTCAAGGTACCACACTTTAGTTTGGTTCACTTCTCCTTCCCTTGTTCTTAACCTTGGATTCATACTTTCTTCATTTAAGAATATTTCACAGACTTCTCTATCTTCAAGGGATGATAATAGGAGGGCTGGTTCATTATCTTCTTGAATCAAGTTATTTTCTTGATTTCTTTCTTTTCTTGGATTCTTACATTCAGCAGCATAATGTCCATAGTCTTGACAATTGTAGCATTGTACACTACTCTTGTCTTGACTGTTGGACCCACCATTGTTTCTGTACTTCTGGTGTTGATAGTTGCCTCTTCCACGACCACCGTGTCCACCACCTCAGCCTCGACCCCTTCCTCTTCCCCGTGACGATCCAGATCCACCACGGTTCCCTTTTGGGGTGCTTTTGGAGTCACCTTCAGCCTTCTTCTTGTTCTTTTCAGTCCATTCTTGGTAAGTCATGAGAAGCTTTCTGTCATCCGGTTCATTATGACCTTTCATGCGTTCTTCATGTGCTTTCAGCCTCCCAATCACCTTTTCAACTGTCATTTCATCCAAGTTCCCAAACTGCTCCAGGGTTGAGGCTATTTGAAGGAATTTAGGAGGGACTGCTCTCAGTAGTTTCTTTACTACATAAGATTCTTCAACTGTATCCCCCAGTGTACGCATAGTGCATACTATATTGCTCACTTTCACAGCGAACTCATCTACAACTTCTGACTCCTTCATATTCCAGGCTTCAAACTCGGCTTTTAAGGTTTGTATTCTTGCTGTCTTCACTCTGTCTTCCCCCATGAACATAATCTTCAAAGCCTCCCAAGCTTCTTTGGCTGTTTTCTTCTCAGCCAAGGACACCAATAGGTCTGCCGGTATGCCTTGATAGATGGCTGCCAAGGCCATCTTATCTTTCTTCACCTCTACCACAGTGTTTGTTGTTCTTGGTTCCACTGCATCCCACACTCCTTGGGCTTGCATAAAGACCCTCATTTTGATGGCCCATGCATAGTAGTTGCTCCTTGACAGCATCGGGTAATGAAGAGTGACCATACCATCCTTCTCGCCATTGTTGTTATTCCCTGTCATCTCTTCACGAGACTATCTCTTCACGAGACTGGTATTTTGGCATGCACCAGGTTGTGATTTGATACCAAATGTTAGATAAAATACCAAAAACAAGGCTCTCTTCACTGGTTAATAACATGGAACAAAACAAAATATAACAGGGGACAGAAAAAGAAACACACAGTGGGGCAAATCTGCACTTTATTCACCAAAACAGAAAAGAAAGATACATTGAACGTACATATTGCCACTCTATTTAAACAGCTAAAACTGAACTGAAAACAAGGAAAATGACCCTTCCTATCTGCATAAAAACAGGGACCTCATGACTACATGGGTTGGACTTATTCAAAAACACTTACACTTGGTAAAAGAGTAAATAAAAACGTGCTGCAAACTTGGATTACACTCACAGGAAACCATTACTATAAAGATAGTTAGTACCGTATCACGTACCCAGTTATGCAAAACTACAGTTGGAAAACAAAGTAAGATAATATAACTATTTCTGTATTTCATGATCTCATTAGCAATCATAGATGGCATTGTACAATTAAAACTCAACCTGAAGGAAAAAAATCAAAAGAAACTAAGATAAATCAAGAATCCTATAAAAGTGAGATGGATATAGCACTTACAATTGTAAAAACGAAAAGGATATTAAAATCCGTAGATGTTCAAAGTTGGGTGAATAAACAAAGAGTGGTCAAAATCGAGATGTTTTATAAGAATTATTCACCTGCTTAAAACCCAAAAATGATGAATTGAGTGAGATTCCCGCTCTTACAGACTCTTGTACGTCACCCCCGCCACTAATTTCCTCGTAAACCGTGATTTTTGGGCCTTTAAGGCCACAGATAAACATTGGGCCTTCGGCGGTGCATGTTTTTTGGGTTGAGACTCACTAGTGCTGGAGAATGGTAGCTCCCTTAAAGGAAATAAATTAATCCATGTAAATGAGTTTATTAAAAATAACTATTTTTTCTGATTTGGAAAAATAGTTATTTTTTCCAAAATAACACATTCCGGAGTAATTATGCCCGTTTGTGGAGTGGGTGGCGGTTAGGTAACTTCTAACATAAAGTTGATACGAAACCAAAGAAGGACATTACGGACTTACGTAGTCAATCTGGGACGAATGTAGTCAACACCGTACATGTTGCACTTTCATTCCAGACTGTCATTGTTTCAAACTAACATTGTACATTTCCGTCTATCTGAGTACATTCCTTACAGTATTTCTAGATTTTTTTCATTACATATCATGTGTTTTCCATCTTCTTTTCGTCCACTTACAACCAATAAATTATAATCGTGTTTCAGAATTGTTTCAAGATGAGTTTTTCAAATTGTGACCACAAAGAAAGTTTTGCCAACATGATTGTTTACTTGCATAACCATCAGCGAACCAACCTCCATAGTTACACCAACATCATAACGAGTTATGGATAGTTTTCAATTTTGTTTTGTGACTCTTAGATGCATAGTAAGAATTTTTTTGCTAAATTCTAATTGTTTATTTTCATTTATTAATTTTGTAGCACAATTTGCATGTTTTTGGGGTCGAGACTTACTGCCCGAGGATGGTAGCTCTCTTAAGTTGAGATTATAAGATTATCCAGATACATTGTCCAAGCCCAAATGCATACGATAGGAACCTAGTGGTTGAAGAGTGGAATTTCACACAAGAGGTCAGGGGTTCAAACCCTGACACCCCCAAAATATTTGTTATTGTTCCGCGATAGAGGAAATCGTCAGATATGATAATGTGGGTAAACAAAATTCTATGATATGCTTACAAATAATAGGAATGATGTTAAAAACCAATCAAAAAGATTATCTCAAATGTGTATCAAAATACTCCAGAACCACGAGAAAATATAGTTGGAGAAGACACGGTTCTGAAATAGATTATTCTAAATTATACAAGTAGAAAAAACAAGCACTGCCAATGATAATCTTGCCTTTTGAACTACTAATGTTTCAACGAAGGATTGTAATTGTAATGCATTTTAAAACTAAGAATCAGCAAGATTTTAACAATTACCAAAACATTCATGGACAAATATTTGTAACAATTTGAACTCAAAACAGAAAGCAACAAAGCTAGACATAATGCACTGGGAATAAAATAAATTCAAGGAGAATATAACTATAAGGTAAAGCAAAAGGGTGAGCAAGAACAGAAGTGTTTCAAAAATAAAAGGGAAAGAAGCAAATCCATCAATGATGGTTTACAACATCTTGACAATGTTCTTACACATGGATCCATCATAGATACAAAAATAAGCATGCTAAATATTCATCACTACTCATCTAGGTGATTAACATCCAAACAGTCATGGAGAAAGTACCACATGTTTGAATACATGAATCTGCCCTTTTCACCTTTGTTAGTGTCGACATCAAATCTCCCATATTGCCCGTATTCTGAACGAGGATATGGTATAACAGCCGCATCATGCTTGAAGTAGTTGTTATGGAAAAATGTATATTCTTCTCTTGTCTTTTCAAGTGACTCCCATTTCAGTTCCTCAAAAGATATTTCATGAATCCATTGCGGATCAACTGGATGCACCACATAAAGCTTTTGATCATAACTTGCAAACTCATGCTTATACAAGCCAAACTTTTGAAACTTCTTGGTTACAAGTAACGTCAAATTGGGCTTTGAAAAGAGTCTCAATTCACATACATGCAATTCTTGATATATATCACTGAGTAGGGTATATACCTTCCCCTTAAATGCATGTACATCAAGAATGATAAAACGGGTAGTAACTATAGAAGAATGATTATATGATTGAAAGACTTAATTACATTCCATAATTCACACGCCATATATAGGCAGATTACAAGCTGAATATGAGCGAGTATATAGGAGTACATATAGGAGACATTATAGGATCTATTGACTATACAATTGACTATACAGAGTAATGAATTGTAAACGTGATATAAAGCTGTGGGCTATTGTGTTTCATGTGGGCTGCTGTCTTGTATGTTGGGCTTCATATCCTTAATACGCCCCCGCAAGATGGAGGCTCCATCGGAGACTCCAATCTTGGATCTGTTTTTCAGAAACGGTGCTCGTGGAAGTGGTTTGGTCAGCATGTCTGCTAGCTGGTCTTGTGAATGAACATGAAGTACTTTGAGAAGACCTGATGCAATCTGTTCTCGAACAAAGTGGTAATCTAGGGCCACATGCTTCATTCTCGAGTGATAAATAGGATTCGCACAAAGATACGTGGCACCTGTATTGTCACAGAAGAGTGTTGGGGCTATAGTTGTAGGCACACCTAGCTCACGAAGGAGGTTTTTGAGCCAAATTAGTTTTGCTGAAGCATTTGCCAAGGCCTTGTATTCGGCCTCGGTGGAAGAGCGAGAAACAGTCTTTTGTCTTGTGGATCGCCATGACACTATATTCGTACCCAAATACAGCAGGTATGCTGTTGTAGATCGACCTGCACTATGAACTCCACCCCAATCAGAGTCGGAGAAAGCCGAGAGCGTGAGTGAGGAATTACGGTTAAGGACTAAACCATGGTGAATGGTACCTTTAAGGTACCGAAGGAGGCGTTTAAGGACCTGCCAATGAGTTTGACGAGGAGCGTGCATGAATTGAGACAGTTTGTTTATGGCAAAGTAAATGTCGGGACGAGTGAAAGCTAAGTATTGGAGAGAACCAACTAATTTTCGATAAGGTGTGGCATCAACAGTGGGTGATTGATCAATGAGAGACAATGGTTCCGTGGCACTTAGGGGGGTGGTAACATCTTTGGCACCTTTCCATATGGAATTGATTTAGAATGTCTTGGATATGCCTATGTTGGGACAAAAAACAGACCGGTGGGAGTTGGAATGACTTCAACTCCTAAGAAATGATGAAGCATACCAAGATCTTTGAGAGAGAATTTTGTGCTTAAGGAGGTGACAAAATGAGTAAGGAATTTGTTGTCATTGCCGATTAAGACAATATCATCGACATAAACCATGAAGTAGCATATGATGGTTTGATGGGAATAGATGAAAAAGAGATGCATCAGCTTGAGATTTTCGAAAACCAAAGGTGAGGAGAAAGTTGGCAAGTTCAATATACCAAGCTCGTGGAGCTTGCTTGAGACCGTAAATGGATTTTTTAATTTGCAGATATGATCCGGGTATTGAGGGTGAATGTATCCAGGTGGTTGAGACAAATACTTCTTCATGCAATGTGCCATGTAGGAAGGCATTGTTGACGTCTAGTTGACGTAGTGGCCAGTTGTTTGATAAGGCTATGGAGAGGATTGTTCGGATAGTGACGGGTTTGGTGACCGGGCTAAACGTGTCAAAATAATCTTTCCCATATTGTTGAAGAAATCCCTTTGCTACGAGACGGGCTTTGTATTTTGATATAGAGCCATCTGAGTTGCGTTTTATTCGGAAGACCCATTTGCAGCCAATAGGTTTGTGAGAGGCTAACGGAACCGGCTCCCAAGTTTGGTTTTGTAAAAGTGCATTGAATTCAGAATCCATGGCACTCCTCCATTTGGGATCTTTTAGTGCTTGATTGTGGGTGGAAGGTCCAAGGGTAGGTGGTATAGGATGAAGGGTAGTAGTGTTTACGAGATTGTTGTTGTAATACTTTGGGTTAGGTTTGCGAGGTCGGTGAGGTGGTGGTGGTGATGGAGGAGGAGAAGGGTTAGGGGATTGAACCGGGGAAGGGGATGACTGAGCAGGTGAGGATAAGGGTGGCTGTTGTGGTGCTGTTTGAGGTGAGGCTGGATCAGATTGGTTGTTTTGGGTTGTTGGTGTACTAGGTGATGGTGTAGTTGGTGTGGAGGGTATAGATGGAATTTGGATGGGTATTTGTTGTGTAGGAGATGGCCTAGGGCAGCAGGGAGGGATGGATGAGCTGGTGGTGTTATCATTTGTTGGGTTCAGATAGATGCAAAACTCATTCGGTTTGGGCAGAGGAGTTTCGGGTTCATTCTGGTATGGGAAAATGTGCTCAATAAATTCGACATGGCGAGAGTGGTAAAGTTTGTGAGTAGTGGGTTCATAACATTTGTAGGCTGATTTCGAGATCGAGTAGCCAAGGAAAATACACTTTGCAGACCGGGGATGAAGCTTGGTTAGGGAGTAAGGTCGCAACCACGGATAACAGAGACATCCGAACAGTTTTAGCTTCTTGTATATGGGTGGAGTATTGTGTAGTTTGTCATAAGGAGATTGGAAATTGAGAACTTGGGTGGGCATTCGGTTTATAAGATGGACTGCTGTTTGAAAAGCATGAGTCCAAAAGGAGAGAGGCAAGTTGGCATGATGAAGAAGTGAAAGCCCGGTTTCAACTATATGTTTGTGTCGTCTCTCAGCAATCCCATTCTGTTCAGGGGTATGAGGTGGTGTAGTGAAGTGAGAAATGCCATTTTGTTTGAGGTATGAGGCAAGTTTGAGAAACTCTCCTCCATTATCAGTGAAGAGGGAGATGAGTGGGGTATTGTAGAATTTTTCAACTAGACTGCGAAATTGAGGAAACAGGGTGGAGACTTCAGATTTTCGTTTCATTGGATAAAGCCAAATGTATCTTGAATAAAAATCGACAAAGGTGACATAATAGGAAAAACCATCATTGGAAGTTTGTACCGGTCCCCAAACATCAGAATATACTAGTTGCAAAGGTTTGGTAGCAGTAAAAGAATTTGGCCCAAAGGGTAATTTGTGGCTTTTATTTATAGAGCACGAATCACAATGAAAAGAAACATCTGAATGTTTATTAAAAGAGAGTCCTAAACGAGCTAGAAGACACTTGAAAATCTTGACCGATGGGTGACCAAGCTTATGGTGCCAGGAGGTGACCGATTTATTTGAGGAGACTGTGGAGTTGACTCTTGGAAGTTGACTAAGGGAGCAAATGGCTGCATAGTAGACATCATTGATGTTCGTGCCCTACATGAGAATTATGCCCGTGCGTAGGTCCTTAACAAGAAAGAAATAGGGAAAAAATTCCACAGAAACTTTGTTAGTTTTGCAAAGTTTAGCCACTGAAATAAGGTTATTACGCAACTGAGGAACAAATAGCACATTATGTAAATTTAACGGACGGGAAGAAGTAGGAAGGGAAGAATGACCGGTATGAGAGATGGATAGCCCTTTACCGTTTCCTAACACGATTTCGTCTGGTCCGCTATACTCTGACAGGGTGTGGAATGAGGCTGGATGCCACATGATGAGATGCCCCGCTATCAAACATCCATGGAGCTGCTGTGGTTGTGGAGGAAGCTGTTGTAGAGTTGACTGTGGGATTGGTAGAGGTGTTAATACTGATGTTGTTTTCTCTAAGAAACCGAGCAAGCTTCCTGCATTCTTTAGTATCGTGTCCAGGGATATTGCAAAATTGGCAGTAGCTATTGTTTCTATTACCTCTGTTGAAGTTGTTACCTCCGTTGTACTGACCAGACGAACGATTGGGGCCTGAGTTGGATCGAAAATTGTTGCCTGAGTTGTTGTTGTTGAATTTAGGTTGATTGCGGTTGTCATAGAAGGATTTTGATGAATATCGATTGTTGGATTTTTGGGTATTGTTGACTGTTGTGATAACAGAGGACGTATGTGTGTCTTTCAGAGTCCTTTTGTGATCAAGCAATTTGTCAAAGAGATCTGGGTATTTGATAGGAGTTTCACGAATCTTTAGAGCTGAGGCTATGTGTGTGTAATCGTCACCTAGATGTCCTAATATGTGAACTATTAAGTCTTCCTCATCAACCGGATTCTGAGCTAGAGCAAGGTCATCTGCAATATTCTTCATATCATGTAGAAACTCAGTGATAGATCGGGTACCTCTTGGATTGTTTGCCATTCGAGATTTTAGAGAAATAATGTGAGAGCGGGAGACGCTTGCATAGCTATCTGTGAGACATTTGAATGCTTCTTGTGCCGTTTCAGCCGAAGAGACAATTGGTTGGATGGTTTCTGCGCAGCTCCCCAATAGGGCTCCAAGAATGATTTGATCCTGTCGATACCAGAGGGTATATTGCGGATTTGTTTTTGATGTGTTGTCTGTTGTTAGGTTTTTGGCTGGGGCTGCTGTCGAGCCATCAAGGTAACCTTCAAGACCTAACCCAGTTAGGGTTGCGACGATCTGCTTCCTCTAGACGGGAAAATTGTTGGCTGTGAGCTTAATTGGAAAGTGTGTGTGTGTTGTGACCTCCGTAACACTTGACATGGCGATTGAGATTTGAGTGAGGGGAGTAAAATTGGATCAAAATTGAGACTCTTAGGAGCTAAGCAGCTCTGATACCATATAGAAGAATGATTATATGATTGAAAGACTTAATTACATTCCGTAATTCACACACCATATATAGGCAGATTACAAGCTGAATATGAGCGAGTATACAGGAGTACATATAGGAGACATTATAGGATCTATTGACTATACAATTGACTATACAGAGTAATGAATTGTAAACGTGATATAAAGCTGTGGGCTATTGTGTTTCATGTGGGCTGCTGTCTTGTATGTTGGGCTTCATATCCTTAATAGTAACAAGAGTCCATTCTTGTTTACCCACTATGGAAAACCATGTTTTATCATCAAATTTATTTGCAATAACAAACACCCACTCAGATAATGAAGGCGAATAGACAAGGATAGCCCTGACAGGTTCATAGCCTCCAAAGACATCTAAGGGAACATCAGGTAAATGAAGTTCATTCCTTGTGATAGGATTCACAAACCAGATGTCACGCCTTTTCTTATCATACAAGATCAAGTACCCATAAGGTACTCCAATACATGTCCTGCCAGGGGGGGATTGTTTTGAACTTTCTTCCTTCAAAGTCCTCTAAGTAGCATGCGTTCTTATAAGGATGAGGAGAGGTACATACAAACATTGGTGGTTTGGACACCATAAACTTGTTCTGTTGGAAAGTGCAAGTGATCTCCATGACTTGCAAACTCCTCTGAATGCAAGAAAATCAATCACCCCAAGTTGCATCATAACTAATAAAAGCACATCATGACCAAGATCTAGGTGCCACACCACCATTGTCACAAGTCTTGATCTTCTTGCTACTAGATGCATCACCATGGTTTTGGTTTTTAGTCATGCTCCTTGTCTTAGCCATTCCTACAACTGCAGAAAAATAAGTAAACAATTGAGACCTTTTATTGTAGAACTACACTAAAAAGATGATAAAAGTAATGGGCATCAACCTAACAACCATCATGGTTTACCTTTTCAAGGATTATGTTTGTGGGTTTATCACATGGGTTGACCCGCCCATGTATGCAAGGTCCAAAGACATCATACCTGGCTTGTTAAGAAATATCAACATGTTAGAGGCATCGTGTAATCAATGGCGAATCCATAAATCTTGTCCGTAGGGGGCATTAGCAATCGGTTATTTGATCGGATCCAAATATTCAGACTAATTAGTTGTAATGGTCTATATTTTATTCCAATAAACGATCAACATTTTAACAATGAATTTTTTGGTCTTAAAAATTTGACGTGCAAATATGGAAAAAAAAAAAGTTTATGCCTGATATATAAGACTTTATAATGTTAAAATGGAATGACATTTCAAGTTAAACAAGTGTATGATTTTTGTTGCTAGTGTTAACGGAAAGGAATAGAAATGTAGGAATCTAAAGTTTGCATTCAGAGTAGGTGCTATTTAAAAAAAAAACAAAAACAAACAAACAATAGACATAGCTTCGATTAAGGAGACAGGATGGAAACCTTTTTTTTTTTTTTTTTTTTTACTTTTCTTTCTAGTTCTTTTTTGCTGTTGTCGAGAACCAAGAACCAAAAACAGCACCTAAAATGGCCAGTTGGGCTTTATTTCTTATTATTCATTTTTTTTTTCTTTAGCCTAATGCCCATACAGTCCATCTTATGAAGAGTCTAGCCCAAATATTATTGAGGGCACCTTTGATTTGAAGAGTATGTCTATTAAATTATATTTGGATCCAAATTAACCCATCTTCTATGTAAAAATATTCAAATGGTTGTGGGCACATGCCCCCACTCTCATTGCCTTGCATCTGCCCCCGCGTGTAATTCTTCGAGGAATGAAGATTTTAAGATGGAGATGTATATATTGTCTAGTTAGTGATATTTGTTGTTCTGAATATATGTTGTCTAGTTGGATGATTTTTGTAATTCTAGTTATATGTTATGTTTAGGGACTAGAGTTAGGAAATGGGAGGTTGAACAAGATTCATTTCTATTCACGTAATTCGTAGTTTATATCTGTATGCTTTTCTTTAATAAACAAAACCATCATATATGATATTTTGGATAAAAAAAATTGTATGATATGCTTCTGTTTGACAAGCAAAACTGTATGATATATTATCTTTGTTAGCTTTATAATATTATACTATGGTCCATAAATGAAATGCAAACTTAATTTATATTGTACAAATACTAGGAATGATGTTAAAAACCAATCCAAAAGATTAACCCAAATATATAACAAAATACTCCAGACCCTATAGTGTGAATGGCAAGCATTAAAGATAAGTCAACTGTTATTCCTACACATAACATAAACTGAAATGAAACAGATTAATATAAAATCTACATGTCCAAAAAACAAGCACTGTCATTGATAGTCTAACCCTTTGAAACTATTAAGGTTTCAACAAAGCATTGTAATGCATTTTAGAACTAAGAGTCAGCAAGATTCTGACAGTGAACAAAACATCCATGTACAAAATATTTGTAACAGTTTGAATTCAAAACAGCATGCAACAAGCTAGACATAATGCATTAGACACAAAAGACAATCAAGGATGGAATTGTTTAAAAAAATAAAAGGGAAAGATGCAAATCTGTCAATGATGGTTCTCAACATCTTGACAACGTTCTAACACATGCATCCATCATAGATACAAAAATAAGCATGCTAAATATTCATCACTACTCATCTAGGAGATTAACAATCAAACAGTCATGGACAAGGTACCCCATGTTTGCATGCAGGAATCTGCCTTTTCCACCTTCATCATGCTTCAAGTAGTTGTTATAGAAGAACGTATATTCTTCTCTTGTCTTTTCAAGTGGCACCCATTTCAATTTGTCAAAAGATATTTCATTAATCGATTGCGGATCAACTGGATGTACCTAGTAAAGTTTTTCGCCATAATTTGCAAACTCTGGATAAAAGAAGCCAGACTGTGTCTTTTGAAAGTTGTTGGTTATGAGTAACATCGATTTGGGCTTTGGATAGAGTTTCATTTCACATAAATGCCATTCTTGAAATGCATGACGCTTCCAGAGTAGGGTATATATCTTTCCCATGAAAGCATGTACATTGCAGACGAAAGAACAAGAACAGGTGGAGACATGAGATAAAAAGCTTATAAACAAGGGAGAAACTGACATACACGTGTATACAAACACTACCCTTCTAAAATATATGAATTTTACAAAAATACAAGATGTTAAAAGTAGTGGGCATTCATCATGGCGTATTAATAATCTTAGGGATCCTAAAAGTGAAAGGATTTCATGTGGGTATCAACTAAGATGACTACAATAATAATACCACAATACTCCATACCATTAAATGGTTTATGTAGCATGAAAGCCCTGTTTCAAATTGATGATTGGCTGCATATTTTTAACCTCAAAGCGTGTACATATGCCTTTTTGTTGTATAACTACACTAAAGACAAAAACAAAGAAGAAGACAGAAATGGTTTTGTTGAGAATGTACAGTAGCATTTAGTTTCCTAAAAATATTGTTTGTACTTAGAAACAGATCGCTATGGAAAATAGTCTAAATCATCCAAACACAGCTCATTTCAACCAATGAGATTTTGAAAACCCCATTTTTGATCTGAATGTTCGAATAACTATATACTAAAAATAAACAAATCACCCAAACTCAAAAAGATTATGTCTACATGATATACAATCTATTATGGCTCTTGTCGACCACTGGATAGGGGATCAATTAGGAGTTATGATCAAGCATTTGCATTTAAATCCTCCCAAATCACCAGTTAAACAGACAAAGAACAGGAAACTTCAAAGATAGTTTACCTGATTGAAACAGATTTTAAACATGAGCAGGATTGATTAAGAATGATACGAGCCGGATTAATAGAACAGTCACCAGACAAGATCGAAATAGAACGAAAAAAAAAGAATACGCTAACGATGGGAAGAGCCTTGGGGAGAATTGAAAAGTGAATAATAGAACAGACTCACAGAGGGTAAGAGATTAGAGAAGATACGTAATTTCGTTATTATTCTTCCAATTACCTTCATAACATATATACAAGATTACTAACAAAATCCTTTCCAAAACTAAGACATATAATTACCATATGTAGTTACCATATGCGATGCTTCATTCTCTGTACATCTCTGATCTCTCCCGCACACGGATTGATTTAAATTGTAAGGACTTGTAAAATTCCTAGCACACTATCACATTATTTTTTATGCTGTCATGTGTTATTTTCTATGTGTCATGTCATTTTTTTTCTCCATATTACTAACATTTTTTTCTTAGCATTTCATAAAAGTAACACCCTAACACACTTGATTTTTTTTCAAACATTAATAAATTATATTTTTATAAAACACGAACATTAAAACTTAAAATATGACTACATAAATTAAAATATTAGTTAATACCTAAAAACATGACTTAATATTTAAAAACATGACTTAAAACATAAAAATTTTATGCACAAAGAACATCAGAGATGCTAAGATCTAGCATTCCTAGCTCATGGGAGACTCAAACCCACAAGGAGGACTCATGGGACCATAAAGTACACAAATCATGCCCTAAACTAGATCTATCATAAAGAGCCATCAAGTTAAGAGCTTTATACCTCCAAAAGCTTCCCAAGTTGGTGATGATTCTGGATCCACAAGCTTCAGCTACACCAATGCAACTTCTAAAAGCTTCTCTTCCTTCAAGATTACCAAAAACACTCTCAAATGTCACTTCCAAGTAGGCTTGGCAATTCTCGACACGACCCGCGACACGACAAGAAATAAATGAGTTTGGGTTAAGATTTTCAACCCGCCAACCCACTAACCCATTTATTAAACAGGTCGTATATGGGTTTCTCAAAAAATTTACGAGTTGACCCGCCAACCCATTTAGAATTTTAATCAAAAAATTATATATTTTTTAAATGTATTAAGTATTATACCCTATACAATTTATACTTTATACCAAGATAGACTACTTGATACCATTGGCCATTTGACTTGTGGGTAACCATTTGCTTATTTACATTGCATAATGTTTGGCGTTTGCCTTAAATAATCTCGGTATCTCACAAACAAAATCGAGTAAGTGGGTTGACGGGTCATATATGGGTTTATGTTCTAAACC